CCCCGCATTCTTAAAATAAAGGTCATTTATATTTCATAGTTCTTATCTTTTCAGCCATGCCAAAATCCTATCACTCAGTAGTTGGGATTTTGTATGAAACTATGAACATAAATATTTGTTTCCAAATTGAATAAATTCTGAAGACAGTAGATTAACTGGAATATCCAAAATGATGGAGTAAAAGCAAAAGGGTTAAAAGTTGGATAACTGCATTTTCACCATTAGCAGGGCAAGAGTGCTTGAATTCTTATTGGGCCAAATAACTGGTGTGGAAGATAGCGAAATGTGAGTTATCTTGGAAGTGTGCCAACCAGTAGGGCTGTCTGCTCCTAGGAATAAGAGTAGTGTATGTAGAATGTGCTGCTAGGAGGTGATAGCTAAGAGGAGATGGTAAGGCATTAGCCAGAAAATACATCATTCATATGGAAAAAATGTAGTATGCAGGATCTCTAGGAAACTTCAAGGAATTCCAGCTCAACTTTCAAGAAAGTCAACTCTCAGAGGTTTGCCACCAATAGTCAGAATATACTAGTTAGGAACATGAAACTTTATTCTATCTTTCCCTTTACCCTCATCCTTCATAGACAGAAGTAAATAATGGGAGTAGGGGGATGCACTGGAAGTGCATGTGAAGGACCTGTGAAGCAACAGTGTGTGCCATATTGCTGCAAATCTTCAAGACAAAAATCAGGCTTGAACCGGTAGCAAAGGCAGGAAGAAACCCTGAACTGGCTGTGAAATTGAAGCCTTGTTTCAACATGATGATTTTTTGAAAAAACTGTTAATGGACAATCTCAAAGTATTTATCATCAGTGCTTTAGCTGTCTTTTAATTATTTATTACTAGAACATATTACATAATGGTCACATTCATCATAGGGAATTTGTACCTGTACCTAACACAGCTTAACTCTTCTTCTTTTCCCATCCCCCTACCCTCCTTTCAATCCTCTTCTCATCCTTTACAAAAGCTTTGTTTCTGTTTTTTTCCCTTCAATTGTGTTTTTAAATATCTTTTTCCTTCCTTCTCTTCCTTTCCCTGCTCCCATCTTCCCCTTCCCAATTGAACATGTTCTTTATACTTCCCAATATCTGTCCTGCATTTTGTTCTTAATAGTAGCTGTCTATTAAATGATAAGCTATATATTTGTGCAATCTGAATCTAATACATGGCACATAGTGACTGAGAATCTACGAACCCTCAATCGTCTTGCAAGCCCAAGGAAGACATTGGTAACTGAAAATGTTTAATGGCAGTGATTAGGGAAACAGGACCATTGTTTATTTAGACCTTCTGGAAGACTGCCTATCCATGAAAAAGTCATGCATTTGTATGTATACGCATTCCTATACAGTGAATACATACTGTGAACTTTTGTTTTATCTCATTGATAGCCCATCTATACCCAAATAATAGACGGTGTAAGAACATAGCATCTTTTATTCATAGGCCTTTTATGAAATTGCTCTTATAATTCCCTATTCCATAGGACAGTCTTTTTTACTAATGTATCGACAGAGAATGGTAACAACAGAAATAATAAAAAAGAGTTCAGTGCCTGCCTTGCACAAAAATTGATCTAAATGATTTATATAGGTAGTGTCTCATCTCTTGTTCGTATCACTTTTAAAATTGACAGGTGATGATGGTCCCATTTTAGAAATGAGGAAATAAGCTTAGCAAACCTAAGTGTAGTAAAGGCCCAAGATTTAAATCCAGTTCTGCCTATATTCCAAAATATATCTTTGTGTATTTATTCTTAGCTTCTGAAACTACTTGAGAACTTCAGAAAAAGGTACCTGCTCCCTTAGAGAAATTGCATTTTAAAAAATTCATGTCATGTTATGCTATCCCTCCATATTTTAAAATGCTATTTTCCATAAAACTTTACCCATGGATTCTGCTTCTAGTCTACGTTATTTTCTATAGGCCTCCTATGGAAGAATTTCTCTAATCAATGAGGGTTTATCAAACATCTAATATAAACCACATATTGTTCTAGGTGCTGAAGTTCATACAATGAAAATGATAAAGTTCCTGCCTACATGGACCATGTATCCTATTGATCATCTTTCCATAGTTCTCCTCTGTTTATTGTAGTCAACTTCAGTTTCTTTTTCCTCCATGCAAATTTCTAAAAAATTTAGTTTGCATATGTATTATAGAATACAATGAGAAAGAAGTGTTCATATACAAGTATATTTATAATGATAATAGTTATAAAAGCAAAAAGGAAAACCCTAAATATCTAAGATGGTAAAATAAATGATGATGCATGCATCATATAAACTATTACTAAGTCATTAAAATTATACTCATGGACTCGACTGATTGCTTAGAATGTGCAAAATCCTGGGTGTGATCCTTAGTATCACTGAAATTTATGCTAAGGTGATATTTTTATGCCACAGAAAATTGTATAGAATTTTATAGTATATAATTATATAGAAGTTTAATTTCAGTTCTCTGTGTATACATATATGTATGTGAGTTTGCTTACAAATGCAAGTAAGGAAATGATGCATCAAAATCTTAACATTTACCTGATAGGTACCATTAATGATGTTTTCTGTCTTTTCTATAACAACTACATTTCATTTTTAAAATGGAGTCTGTGTGTATACTCTGTGCATGGTGTTGCAGTGGGCTCTGGAGCAGTTGTCCAATTAGCAGAGTGAGGCTTCTGGTCAGAGACTGCAGTGTTTATAAATTAAATGAGAATTTATATGTTTGTGTATATATCAGTAAGTGCATGGTCAATTTTTTATTTTACATGACTCACTTTTCATTTCTTTTTGGTGTCTCACTGTCATCCAAATGAGTCAAATATTATGGTCAGTTGAGAGCTAACCAGGTTTAATAACAGCCTAAGAAAAGTACATGTGGGAAGATAAACCTGCTGGTGGCAAAAAAATAATCACTATGAGTTCAGAACCAAATACAAAATCATGTTTGATTGTACCATTTTTTAGTTTATCCAAGTTCCTAATTGCGTGTACATAACAAGATCACCAAGAAGTGACCATTTATTTAGCAATGATTTTGATTGTTCATGTAGAATCACAATAACTTCATAGAATGAATAACAAATTTATAAAAACCCAAGCTCCTATTTTGAAAATGAGTGACTATACTTTCCATAGCAATGAACAGTTCGAGGCTAAATATCTTATGTTTTGACATTATCTACTCACCGTTTGTCACTAATACTTTAGCTGTCTATTAAATTATAAAATATATGTTTGGGCATCCTGAAGTTTAATTGCATGCATGCAGTGATGGTAGTAGCTAATAGCCAGAGAGAAATAAGCAAGTGAAGTTGCTTGAGAGGAGGCACAGAGTGGAACAGAATTTCTATTAGGTAAAATTGATCTGTGATTATGTAGATGAAAAAAGCTTTTAGTATTTCTGACACCTATATTCCAGTAGATATGACACATGTATATTATGCTATTTATTATTTTAGAATATTTAAAAATATCAGAGACAGCTCTGTTTGTTTTTCTTTGGGCATTAAAAATCTAGTATTTACCTTTGGAGGCATAGAATTTAACAAATTGTATAATTATTTCCCCAGAATATAGTACTCCTCCACAGGACTTCCTCCATATTTGTCATCTTATATTTTGAACATAAGAGATAATGTGAAATATGGCCTAACATTTGTCATGTCAAAAACAGCACAACTGAACATAAGATCAAGACAGAAAATATATGGAATTACATCTCAATTATTTTCTGGAGCAGAAATTTGGAGATACTGCATAACCAGTATGAAACAGCGTATACTGAATGCTAATTTGAACTCACATTAGAATCAAAAGATAAAAAAAGGTCAAGTCCATTTTTAGAAATTAAAAAAAACTGAAAGAAAAGATTTTTGAAGTTGTACCACAAAGAAATAATAAATCAGATATGTTTAAACTGATGTAAACATATACAATGTCTACATATAGTGAAACATGATACAGTATGCTATTGATTTGTATAATTTTTATCTTTTTATGTATCAATTTTTAAAAAAATTTTAAAATATTAGAAAAAACAAAGATAAAAATATAAAAATAATTTAAATTCATATTCCAAGAAAAGTGAAGTCAGTTGCTCTATACACTCTTGAAAGGGGAAGCACTCATCAGCACATTTCTGGATTGGTAGGGCATTCCACAAGTAGAACATTTATCAGCAGTTATTTAATCAATATTTATAAATACATAGAGATTGTGTCACATAAAAATAGATAACAGAACCACTTATGAATCATTATTTGAGATACCACAACATATATATTTGTTCTTATTTGTCCCACACTTTGCTATCAACCTGCTATATTTCTGCAGTGACGATGTTGAGCAACTACTGTTCTGTCTCTAGGTAACTGTCATTCAAAAATAATAACATATCGGCCACTAAAGTAAGGAACTGTGCAACAAAGATTCATGTATCTGATTTGACCCACCCTGATATTTTATATTCATTTAATGCATACAGATATTATGAATTCCTTTCATATGCATAAATAGTGTATATTCGTTTCATGTATATTCATTAATATGTGTTTTCTACGTGAATTTCCAGGGACGAATTTAAAATTTGTTACTGTAAATGGCTTCACTGATCATATGAATCACAATACCCACACAATTAAGTAACTGACAGTGCAGCCTAAATTGAACTCACACAGTCTGATTCCTGTAAACGTCATGGCTTATAAACTTAACTGAGGTCAAAATTGCTTCAGAGTTTCTTAGCATTCCTGAGCTATGTTTCTGTTTCTCAACTCTTTTTCCCACTCAATTCTTATTCCAAACTGATTCTGAGGGTCCCCCATGTCCTCAGAACCCTGAACCTCTCAAACTTAGATCTTCATTGTCTTACTGCACCACAGTTCTGACAGTGCCATAAACTGGCAAAATTTCTGTCTTCAAACACTTCTCCTGCCCACAAAACCTTTGGCAAATCTGGCAGGTCACTTATTGTCAAGTGAGAAGATATCTTACCTTTGGCAGAGATGCCCTGGAACCTGAACTCTGGGTGGTCATCGTTAAGACTGTGGTGATACCCAGTGCAACCCTAGCAGGGGCTGCATCCATGTTTATCCAAAAGGAGACCCAGGACAAAATGACTATCAACAGGCTGGGAATGTACATCTGGATCAAATAATATCCCATTTGACGTTCCAAGTGAAACTTGACTTCAATGCAGGTAAACTTTCCTGGAAACAGCAAATTATCATTTAAAGTCTAATTTGATTTTTTTCTAATTCCAACATCCTATTTTACTTTTAAAAATGAAACGTGTTACACATAAATTGGGAAGATTGCACAAAATCCTCACCCTATATAACCAATTCAACCAGTATTGGAAATAACTGTGAAAACGAGTGTTCTAAAGCATTGACGACTAAAGCTGTATGGTATATTTAATTTTTAAAATACGTGCTTTTTGCAGCTATATTATTTTAGATATATCTTAAGAATTTTCAAGACTGACATAAACTGATCGGTGGAAATAAAATATTCAAAATTTGTGAAGTTAGACTACGTAGTATATAGCACACAATATAGAACCCATAGCAGATGCAGAATGGCTTATAGTACCTACAATATAACGTGTAATGGTTGAAGCTGTTCCTTTCAAGTAGTAAGAGGATCTCCCCACATATTTAAATAACTGTACATATTTTTGTGTTATCAATGGCAATGGTTAGTTGCTCGCGAAGATTTAGAAACTATTTGTAGTGTCAATTTGCTTATGAAAAAGAGCACATATGAAAATCTTACAATTGTTAACATAGTACTAACAGATGCTTCTGACTCTACTTTTTCCCCTCTTTAATCAGTATGGAGTTAGAACACTAAGATACTTTGGCTTAGTCCATACAAATTATAAGAGATAGGGTTCATCTTTGTCAGGAAGAAAGCCTTAGAATCAGATTTAAACTCAAAGGAAGTCACTGTTGAGTGGTGGACCAAGTGTTCGTGGGCCATTCTACTCACCCAGTGTGCCTGGATCAGTCAATGGACAAACCATTGTGTTTGACTGCCTCCTCATGATCAGCACCCATGGCATCATAAGAGCATATTCACAGGAATAACCGTCAACATTACTGGGCAGGTATAATCTTCCAGACATCCAGATGCCCACTTGTTGGCTCTTCCTCACATTCTCCCTCAGTCTATGTGTCTGTCAACACTACTGGCCCATGATTTTAGAGTCAGCTGAATTCTGTCCAGCTGATTTTCATCCACACTACACAACACAGTAGTGGGGTTTTTTCTGGGGTGGGGGGGGGTATTATTCTCTTCCACTATGGCAGGAAACACAAATTGACCCAAGGATCCAATATACAGAGTGCATGCCAGGAAGCGCCAGAATTCAAATGTTTCCTATATACTAATGGAGTCTCTTAGACCTTTTTTCAGACTCACGTGACATCAAATGTTTGGCAAGAAATAGCAAAACATTCCCAATTGTTTCTCCTCCTATATTTTGGAAAAATTGTCTGTTGTGTTCACTCATCCATTCCAGAGGGTACAAGAATCTTACCTGTCTAGAAGTATTCTCTATTTGTTTGGTAAATACACAGCAATTATAATGTGATAAGATACACATTCTGAATTGCAAATGAATCTCACTTGGGTTTAGCAACTGAAAGAAAACTTACCAGTATTGTAGTGCTTTGTGCAGTAGCCAAGTTCCTTCTCTTCTTTCAAAATAAATTGAGGCAAGGTCAATCCTTCAGCCACTTGCACTGGACCATCACTTAACCATTCAAAAATTAGATCATTCATTGTGTACCCAACTAGAGGAAATAAATTTTAGAGAAAAAAGTGAATGTATCTTTTCAAGAAATCTTGGAAGAGTAAAGAAACAACAAAAAAAATCATCTAAAGCAGACATATACTCAATTATTTCAAGAGCATTCTTAATAAGAGAGTTGGAGCCAAATAAATTGAAGACAGAAAGCTAATTTTGGATCATTATTTTTCTCTATAATGAAAGAATGGAATCTATAAAGTGTATTTTCTTCTGCCTCTTTATGCACTATTTCTAAAGAACAAACAAGTAAACAAACATGAAAATTCTTTGAAGATTGTATTTGAAATAACTATGTCTGTGGCAATATAATAAGACAATTCAATTCATGGTGCCAGTCTTAGTGTTTCAAATGAAACCGTTTTTAATGAGAATGAATTAATCACAGTCTTGCCTAAAACATTCCAGTTGCAAAATTGGCCCCTCCCTTATGGTCTATTAGGTTTTACTTTCAGAAAATGTACATTAAATATTTATAGTCAACTCTCAATTATGTTAGCTAGTGGGGAAAGCTATAAACAAGTAACCTAAGAAGTTGTAGGATACGCAAATCAAGAATATTTGTTTGTGTTAATGTCTTGCCAAATAGACCTATTCATTACAATTATTATTACAGAGTAAAACAGATTATATGTTATGCAATGTCATACTGTTACAAGACTTGAGCCATCCAAAGCAAAATAATAACTAACAGTTTAGTAAAGCAAAGTCAGCTCATAGTCTCCATGTAACTACCAATCAGGCCATTTTCTCTCAAAGATACTTCTGGGTCTTACTCCATACACCAAAAATAACAGCTTCTCTTTTGGACATTATTTGTCTACCTCTCCTTTGGTTTGTGATACTTAAACTCTTAAAAGGAGACTGATAAGGGCAAAGGATATTATATGAGGTTTTGGCTGGCCAATAACATCACCATGATAATTAAATTTAAAGATTCTTATTCTTGTTTACTGTGAGGAAATGACTCACCAAAGCTCCGTAGAAATCAATGGAAAAGTTAATTGGACTCTACTTTCCTCTTTGTTTTGACCACCTTTTAAATTAGAAGCCAAAAACTGAAAACATGGAAAGCCAGAAATTGCAAAAAGAACCATTTACAAGCATTCATGGGCCACGAAGAGAAGAACTAAGCGTCTTTCTTCTACCACAACCCAGGATGAGTACATCAGGATACCTCCAACAAATATCTAAAGCTTTCTGAATACCCCCAAGATATTCTCTAGTGAACTTCTCCCTGACTACCATAATAGCAGTCCTTAGCTGCCTCCTGAAGCCTCAACATAGGCTAGCCAGGAAAGATAAAAAGGTGGGGAAGTAGGAGATAATATTGGAGTAGAAAAATAAAGAGTATTATTTTTCAGCCTAAACTTAGTAGTAAGGACATAGCTAGTTCTTTGATTTCATTTTCACAAGGAGCAAGTGTATTCACTAATTCACTTTTCAAAGTCTTAAATGAGCCTTACTTCACAGAGAAAACAGAAGTATTGGGTTGAGGCAGGGAGGAGTTTGGAGTAAAAGAGAAGACACAAAGAAGGAATCATTATGAAAAAAGTGCTTTTCTCAACCTTCTCATGAGAAGGGGCAACAGAGAAAAAAATGAATACATAAAGCCTATTATAAGTCAGAAATTTCTCATTGTATCCCTGACAATTTCTTAAAACAAAGATGTTTCATTATTTTATTTGTGTAGGAAGTTTCAAGGGAAATCTATAGTGTTTTTAAATGATCAGAAAGAAACCCTGTCACCATTTCTTTTTTTAAAATAATAGTTGATGTGTCTTTTTATACTTATTATTTTTCTAAGCCAAGAAGTTAAAAGTATTTCTTTGTCCCTTCATCATTAAATCTCCTAACAGCCCTGTAGATCAGTAGCATTATCATTGTTTGCATTCTACAAAAGGAGAAAACTGACAGAGAAAACCTCCGTTACCTTGGAGACATCATCAATATATGGTACATTTCAAAAATTTCCATAGCATTCAGAGCTAGAATGAAAGGGGACAAAGTGGATGGCATTTCCCTACCCCCTTCTCTATACTTAATCCATCTATTGCTTATCTAAGGAAGATACCTCTTATTCTTTCTTATTCCATCTCATCTCATACATCTTGTTTTTGTGTCCTTTACTGACTAAGGCCCATGTTTCGTGTTCTCAAAGCAGTTATTCCTTTCTGCTTTCAGTCTTAATGGTGCAAGATTGTCTATATGGGCAAAAGATGGAAAGAAATATAACTTTCTAATTAAAAGACTGATTCATTTTAAAGACTGAATGGCTAATAACCTTAATTTTCCCAGAAAACATTTTCATTTCAAAGAAAAGCTTATTAAATCAGTCTTTATTTTAGAAAGGAGAGGTTATTTGGAATTTTAGGTTGAAAGGTTGTTTATATTGTATTGATAATGAACTTGTCTATGAGACATGTATGTATTCTTCCTTATTAGGAATTACGACCATGGGTGTCAGTAGGTAGAGAAAATGAATGTTATGCGTGTTCAGTCCTTAATGATACACTAAAAGAACCAGGTTGTTGGTTAAAGTAAGCAGGCAGTTATATCAATATGGCCACTTACAACTCTCCAGCTGCATTGTACAGGTCTGAACATCCATGGGAAAGTTCTTCAAGTCCATGGGACAGGATAAGGTCAAGGTGAGTCTTAGCAAAGAAAAAAATGTAAACACAAGTTTTAGATATTGAGGTTTCATTTTTGAGAAACAAATATCCACTTGGCATTAAACAAAATACATTGATTTAAATACTGAAATATAAACTGTCACTCAGGGTAGTAATTTTTTTAAAATGTAATCATTAGTATTTTTAAAAGTGTTGTAGTATTTTACCAAAACTCCTTAATCTCTATTTCCCATCTTCTAACCTTTGACTCTGCTTCTACCTTTAGCACTTGTTTTTAAGTTTTTTTCTAGATGGAGCAAGACCAATGAAAAATGCTGTAATGTGAACAATATGCTCTTATCCACACTGATGTCCAAAGGATATAAGGCATATATCATTTTAGAATTATTCCCTGGATATAAAACTTTGCATCAAGAACAATGATGCAATAAGCATGAATGATTATGATAACCATTGATTCTCCTTCCATCAAATGGGCAAATACTTAACTTCACAGACTTTTTGTTATTAATCTATGTTTATGGTTTTAACAATGTATCATGATATCTATTCTAGAATTTTGACAATTATGGTGCAAATAGTTGAGCTGGAAAACTCACTTAAGAATAGTGTTTTTCACTCTTTACCTTTTCATACCTCATATGGACCAATATGATACCTGTCCTCTTTCCAACCTTCCTGAGCTCTAGCCAGCCCTGACTGAAACTTGTATCAGAGTATTCATTAGCCTAACGTCTCTTAGCCTGTATTTCAATTTTATTATTCAAAGGGATGATGCACATGTCTTGTTCTGCAATTTTCTGTACTTTCAAGATTCAAATAATGGGATTAAAATTTGACAATAAGCGAATATAGGTTCTCTTCTCAGCACTGCTTCAAACTTTCTCTGCAGTCTAAGTGAGATATTAAACTTGCTAAACATTTCCTTAAAAACAATGAGAGGATAAGATGATGCTCATTCTCATTTGATTGTAATGCTAAAATCCCTATCATTATAAAGTTCAGTACTCCAAATTCTCTTCACTGTATCTCAAACATTTTGTATATTCTAAGATTCCTCTGACAGTTCTTATTTGCTGTTGTGTTCATTTTCACTCTTTCTTCCAGTTTATCTTCTCTTTATTTACTTTTTCTGCTTCATTTTACATTCTATTCATTTGTGTTACACATTTTAAAGAAAGAAAAGCTTGGAGTTGAAATGAGATTAGACAAGGAATACATGCTGAAAATCTTCAAAATCATTTAAAATGCAACAGTAATTGGGAAAAACAAGACACAAAGTACAGCATGATCACAATTACATAAAAATATGTTTTAAGTCTTGGAAAGAAACACACTACTATATTAAGAATAGATAGTTTGGTTAGTGGAATGATTCATATTTTGTTTTTATTCGTTATTCTATATTGTCTACATTGACAAGTATAGGTTATTTGAAAATGTCCATAAATCTGTTCATTAGTTTTTTTCATCTTTATATAATTTTATGTATATATATATGTATATATATAATCTTTATACACCTTACCTCAAATAATAGTCTAGAAGTAAAATTTTAAATTCTGTTTTACTCAATATGTTTTGCTATTATAATCTTGTTATTAAATAATAAATATTTCACTTTCATTGCTAAACAAATTAAGTATCATTTGTGAGCTGTTCTGAGAAGCCAAATATCACAATGCTAAAAAAAATGGTTTGGAGTTCTAAGCAACTGACTTAAAATAATGTCTTAGTAGAAATAATTCTTGTTAATTGTGGAGTTTATTTGTAGATATAGAAATAAACATATAGATCTTTGTTTTTTTTCGCAGCATGAAGACATTAAACTTTGGGGAAAGCATAATTTTACAGAATGTAATACCATGAACTCTTAAAAATAACCTCAGAGTAAAAGAACCAGAATGGAAATCTCTAGGGAGCAAAAGTCTTCCATTTTATTAAGAATGGCGGACCTCAGAAGGATCTATGGCCTTAAAAATGTTATTACTATTATGATAATCTATGTTGTCTTTTCTATTTTCTTACCAAATATTTTCATCACACAAAAATATATTTTTCTTTAACTCATTTATTGTAAACCATGTCGCAGAAAGATACCAAGCTTCAATTAGGAGAAAAGATTTGTTCATAAAGTAGTGATTATAGTAATAATGCATTATATGTTTAAAAATCACTAAGTGAATTTCAAATGTGTTTACTACAAAATATGTATGTAAATGTAAAATACATTAATTAGCTGTATAGAATTTTTCTGCATGTATTCATAAATCATAGCATCATTTTGTTCCCCATGATATACGTAACTGTAACATGTCAATTTATAAATTAAAAAATGAAAACTAAAATGTTTATCACATAAAATAATCAAATGGTAAGTGAATAATTTGAGTGACTAAAGATCAGAAACTTTGAAGATTTCAGTATAATTTTAAATTATACTGAATTGAAAACTTTGCCTTGAGAAATTAGAAAATACTAGCATTATAAAATAGTTTATACTGCAAAAGAATAGAGTTTAAAGGGACACAAAACATAGAATTCAAATATATTTTATTTGCTAATGGAAACAACTTAATTTTAATACCCCTAATCATATGCTTGTTGAGAGTTTAATTCTTTTTCAAAGTGAACTTTTACATTTATTTAGTAATCAGAATCCTCACACACACTTATTCTTTCTTTTGTGGCAAATATAACAATCTTTCCCAGTTCTAACCCAGAACTTTCATGGAGTCAAAATTATTAACAGAATGGAAGATCCCCCTGAAAGAAGTGCCCAACAAATATGAAACTATCCTTGAATCTTGTGTCAAATGAGAACCCAGTGGCAGTTTTTTCTTCCTTGATTTTCTAATCTTCTTCCCAGTTAAATTTTGTTTTGGAATTCAATGAGTAACAATAATAAAGAAGGGTTAAGAACTCTGCAGTTAGTTAAATTATTTTTCATCCTAGCAAATGGAAAGCGATTGTAAAGATCAAATTGGTCCTGTATAAGCTGCAAGTATAATTTATGACATCAAGTTTGCCATACATCTGAACACTGAAAATCTAGATTTTCCCTTTATTTATTTTCCTTTTCACTTACAATACACATTAAATACAGTAAAAAAAAATTGAGTTACAGCACAATGATTTTTAAAATCTATATTCGCCCACATACTAACCATTCAAATTCAGATTTATAATAGTCCCATTACTCCAGAATATTTTCTTGTGCTTTTCTCCTAGCGCAGAATCACCCAAAGTAATGACCATCTCATCTGTTAAGGCTACTTTGTGATTTGAAAAATACGTATATTCAGGAAAAAAACTTGATGTTATTTTGCACAGAGATGCTGAAATTGCACCAAGTAAAGTCACAAAAATGTGAACAGTTTTCTTACTTTGACCTGGCTCTTCAACTAATTTTAGTGAATCTCACAGAATTAAATATTTTAATTAAGAAGCCAGTATTCTTCATGATTTGCCTGGAAATTCAGACATCTCACTGGCAGACATTGCCTACATCAGGTCAAATTTGTTCTCCTCTTTCCCACGATCTGAAATATTAAGGCCATTGTACCTGAAGGCAGTGAGCTGAGACTGCCCCTATTCCTTTTCATTTTTGTTAAAGGACTCATTTCTGAAGCATTATTGTTTATTCTCCCATTGTCAGTGCAGCTGACATACATGCATTTGGGGCACCCCATTCAAGTTTGCACAAGGAAAGGAATAAAGTTCCTTTACAGAGACCTCACTTCTTTACTGACAGTAAGAAAGCTGAGCAAGCATTTAGATTTTAAAAGCAAAGAATGAAACAAGGCACAGAATGTCAGTCTCCAGAAATCTTCTCTTTCCTGCTCTTTCTCTTCCTTCTCTCCTTCACTTCACCTTGCAAATAAAACAAACTCTTGGTTTTTTACTTTACTTAAAGCTTAAGTTACTGATGGATGCAAACACTATAAATGCATTGTTACCTTTACAGTCAAAATTATAATTTTTATATTCCTTATTGGTTTATTGTCCTCTCCAACTATAATGCAAGATACATGAAGGTTGGGACTCTCTTTTCTATCATCTAAGACGGTACCTGCAACACTGTAGGTATTCAATAAATGTTTGTTGAACAAATGAATTAATCAGTATCTTGAAAAATCCATGGGAATTTTCAGGCATTTGTTTCAATGGGAATAGGAAAGGAGAAATGATTTAAAAGGGAGGAGACTTGTCATCCAAGCCCACAAGGTGTTGGCAAGTTATGGAACTTTTGAAGAAGGCCAGTCAAGCTTGCCAAGACCTCTCTGCAAGTCATTACCAGTTTCTCATTAGAAATAGGCAAATCAGCCTAAAGAAAAGCCAGTAATCATAGCTCTAGAGCCTTGGTCAGGAAGGTAGATATACTAGCAGACCTGTTTTCATATTTTTAGAAAAAATATAAATTGATCACTTAACATTACAATATTATGGCAGAGGCTCCTTGACTCATAAAGCAACCATTATTTCCTGAAAAACTCAGAAATCCATTCCCAGTGAGATTGTTGAAGGAAAAATACCATTTGAAGAGAAAATGAATTTTCAAATAGAAATACAAATTTTAACGAATGATCTGCTTGCCTAAAACGTTTGCCAACATGCTATTTGGGAGAGTTAATTCTAGTGGCTACATTGACCTGTCTAGTTTGGAGAGGAAGGACAAAAAGGTGCTTCTCCATTTCTCAGGAAAAGCAATTGAATATTGGCAATATTGTTATTTTTTCTGTTGGGAACCACATATAGCATGCTCCATGCAGGACAAGACAAATGCTGAGCAAAAAATGATACATCAGAGAGGATAAAGCCTATGGCATTTCTTTAGGATTAAAATAGTAATAATAAAATTAAAAATTGTGCTGATGCTATTGGTGTTCATAACCATAATTTTCTGAACACTTATGGTAGGTCATTTTGAAATCATTGAATGACTTCACATGAAGCAACAGTGCTACATCCATTTTTGAGATAACCTGAAACTTACGAATTTTATTTATTAATTTTGTCTT